ATATATATATACAGATACATTTTTATCAAAACCAAAAAAGATATGAAATTGTCAGTTCATGCATGTAACCCATATAAACGATAAAATATGTTTATACTGTAAAGTACTGATCTAAAGGGCTTAGTGTTGGGCGGGGTTTTCTTACTTGTTTAATTAAAACCTTGTTCTTTACATTTAACATTATTTTGTGACTTTTGTCTATGCAGTAAAATGTAATATTATCTAAAGTCTTTGCACACTAAACCCAATCAATTCATCCATCCATCTTTTACCCACTTCTTCCATTTTGGGTCACGTGTCCAGCAATCACTGTGCGAGGGACACCCCTGGACAGGTCGCAAGTCCATCACAGGGACACATAGAGACAAATGAGACAAACAACCATTCACTCTCTCATTCGCACGTAGGGACAATTTAGAGTTACCAATCAGACTAACATGCATGTTTTTGGTCTGTGGGAGGAAACTGGAATACCTGGAGAAAACCCACGCGTGCACGGAGAGAACATGCAAACTCCACCCAGAAAGGCCCCTGGACCGAGGTTTGAACTAAGGGCCTGCTCGCTGAGAGGCAGCGGCTCTACCAGTTGCGCCACCGTGCTGCCCTCAATTCAATTCACTTTATTTATATTACGCCAAGTGACAACAGAAGTCGTCTCAAGGGCACTGAACAGAAACATTCACATATATTATAAAAGTCAATTAGTAAATGTTTTATATCTAAGGAAGCATCAGATTGAGTTGAATCTTCACTTCGCCACAGACTTTCATCCTGAGCAAGCACAAAGGAGACAGTGGAAAGAAAAAACTCTTTAACGGAAAGAAACCTCCAGCAGGCTCAAGACGAGTAGCTCTCTGCTTCGACCGGCTGGGTCTGAGAGGACAGGAAGGAGGAACAAACACAGAATGACAGGTCCAGGTGAACTTTCTATTGGAGGAAAATCTAAAAAAACATGTTAAGGATAGAAATAATTTCATACACAAACAGGTGAAGTAGAGCAAGTAAAGACAGCAGCAGAGGGGGCAAATGTGGTCAATTTGTCCTCCAGCAGTCTAAGCCTATAGCAGCATAACTTTTTTTTTTTTTTTTTTTTTTTTTTTTTTTTT